ATCCATTGGTTGAGGGTGGACCAAATGGACCGACTCATGATTAGGGTAATGATAGAAATAATGATTTTCATGATTTTGATGACAATATCTCAATTACAGGAGAAGTACCGGAAGCCGACGAAATCTATGAAGATGCACAATTGGAATTTGATGATGCATTTCCACCGATGGAGAAATGGACAAGAAATCATCCAAAGGAACAAATTCTTGGTGATCCAAGTTCTGGTGTTTTGACTCGAGCCCAGATTCGAGCCAAAAACGAAGTCTTAAATGTTCATCAAGAATTATGTATGTTTAATGTTTTTATTTCAAAAATTGAAGCAAAAACTGTCAAGACTGTGTTAGAACATCCTGATTGGGTTGTTGCTATGCAACCTGAGTTGGCAGAATTTGAACGAAACAAGAATTGGAGATTAGTTCCTAAACCTGATGATGTTTCGATAGTTGGACTCAAATGAGTTTTTAAAAATAAAACTGATAAAGAAGGCAATATTGTTCGAAATAAAGTTAGATTAGCTGTAAAAGGTTATTGTCAACAAGAGGCAATTGATTATGAAGAAACTTTTGCCCATGTCGCAAGACTCGAGGCGGTACGAATTTTTCTGGCTTACGCATCTCACAAGGATGTTGATGTTTACCAAATGGACATACAATGTGCATTCCTCAATGGTGTTCTTGAAGAAACAGTGTATGTCGAAAAACCACCCGGTTTCATTAACGATAAGTATCCTAAGCATTATTATATTCTCAACAAGGCAGTTTATGGGTTGAAACAAGCACCTCGTGTGTGGTATGCAACTCTTACTAATTTTTTTGAAAATGCCTAAATTTAAACAAGGATCAGTTGATCCCACTTTATTTCGAAAGAAAGTAGGGGATCATTTGATGCTTGTTCAAATTTATGTCGATGACATTCTATTTGGTTCAACTGATCATTTGTTGTCGAAAGAGTTTGAGGAACTAATGAAGAGTCAATTCGAAATGAGCAAGATGGGTAAGATAAATCACTTTTTGGGTTTAAATATTCGTCAAAGCAGGGAAGGAATCTTTATCAATCAAGAGAACTACACTCGAAACCTGCTTGAAAGATTTGGGGTGACAAATTGCACGAAATTCAAAGTACCTATGGCTATTGGCACGCGCTTAAGTCCTTCGTTGGATAAGCATGTTGTCGATCTCACAACATATAGGAGCATGATAGGTTCGCTTTTGTATTTAACTGCAAGTCGACCTGATATTATGTTTTTTGTATGTAATTATGCCAGGTATCAATCGAACCCAAGAGAACCCCATCTTACTGCAGTGAAGAATATCTTTCGATATCTTCAAGGTACAAAAACGTTAGGATTGTGGTATCCGGCGAAAACAAGATTCTTTATCCAAGCCTTTTCTGATGCGGATCTTAGGGGTTGTAAATTGGATCGAAAGAGCACTATTGGAGGATGTCAATTACTGGACGGGAAACTTGTGACTTGGCAATCGGAAAAGCTGACATGTGTTTCAATTTTGACAGTTGAGTCTGAATACATTGTTGTTGCATGTGAACTTAAGGGTTAAGTTTTTTTTTTGCCTTTTTTCGCCACATGATTTTAAATATAACATATAAACCCATCACATTAGACTCCGATTGAAAAAAAAACTCCAAGAAAAACATGTGCAAGGAGAATAGCATGAAGGAGTTCACACGCTGACTTGTTTTGAAGTATAGGTGTACGATGGCGATTTTTGGTTTAGACAGATACATAGGATGCCTCGCCCATAATCATTTTTAGAAACTATGATGAGATGAGTAGTATATGAATATATCTCATTGTGTTTATATTTGCATCCATCATGACCATTTTATTTTGATGTAACAGGGCATTGATTATTGGGGAATTGTGCTCTATTGTCACAAGAAAAAAGAAAAGACTGCTCTTTGTATACCATAGGATTATCGACCAAAAATAGTTTGATGGATTTTGAAAATGGAATTTATATCATTTGTGCAAAATTGATATAAATTTTGGGCAACTCCAAATGATGACGCATAAGATAAATCCATGAAAATGACTGAAATTATCAACAAAGATAACAAAATACCTAAAGTGCTTTTAATTGATTTGCTTTATTAGAGTTTTTGTCATCTTTTTGGCTTTAGGGGTAGTATGGTCTTTTTAGGAGTTATGGTTGTTATTGGTTGCTTTGTTTGTGGGAGCACTGACCTTGTCCCAGGTCTGTTTTTGGGACCACTCCCCTGAGTCTTGTTTTCTATATATTTGCTTCTTGAGGTTTTTGTTTAGCAGCTAAGAATTGATTTGTAAAGAACTTTGTTCTTCTTTTGGAGAGTCCATTCCTATCGAAGGAATGGGAATTCTATCCTAATTTTCTGGTATTATTGAGTGTTTTGTTGCTTTGAATCTGTTAGAATGCCTGGGGTATCTGATAGATTCAACAAGGATCTATCAAATGGTATCAGAGCAGTCGGTACTGGAGAAGGAACGAAAACCAGAAACAGAGTTGGCAAGGTGATGGGAGAAATCCTTCAAGGTCAAGCTGAGATTCTTTAGATGATGAACCAGCTCTTGGAGAAAGTTGAACTTGCCACTAGAAGTAGAAAAGATGAAGCTGGAATATCAGAAGAAGAAGAAGAAGAGACTAGATACTCGTCAATGGAGATGCATCATCAGAACAAGATAAAGAGATATGAAGAGAGAGAGAGAGAGAGGATGAGATAGCTAAATGGAGAGAGTATTACTGCTCAGAGGAAGGAATGGAGGCTGAGAAGGCTAAGTGGAGTAAGATTTATTACTCTACTTTGAAAGAGAAAGAGAAAGTAGTCCATGAAGAGGAAGAAGAAGTATCTTGGGAAGTTGCTGAGTCAGAATCGGAATCCAAGGAGGGAGCCTTCCATGGAAACAACTACACACAGTCACAACCATCACCGCCACTATTGTGTGACGATGAAGATGAAGTATCATCGGAATTTTCTGAGTTGGAATCGGAATCCGGGCCAACACTACAGCTTCCACCACCTTCACTGCCGCTGTCTCCACAATCTTCTAGGTATGAGAACAGAAAAGAAGGAGCGATGATGATCCTAGGAGGAGACGTAATCAGAACTTCCATTGTTGAAGTGCAGGAAGGAATAGCCAAGTCTGATGTTGAAGAACTATCATCGGAACTTTTTTAGTGGGAATGGGAATCAGAATCAACACTGCAGCTCCCACCCCCAATGTTGCCGCCGACACAACCAACACCGCCGACAAATCCACCTCCATTAGCACCACCGTCTCCCCCACAACCACCTTCCCCTCCGCCTCTAGAGTTCAAGCTGAGTAAAGAGGGTGTAGTTCTCGAAATTGGAGGCTCAAATCGGTTTGTTAGAAAACATGAGATGCCTTTGATCAATGGCCACAGACCACCATTGCAGCCGCCTTCTTGCCCCCCACTACCACCATCGTTGTATTCACCGCTATTGTTGCCGCCACCAGCGTCACCACCACCATTACCGAGATTTGAGGAAAAGAACGAAGGAACGTATTCAGAGTACCAACAAAGTCTCGAGATGGTAACGGCTCCGTTAAATGAAGTGACGGAAAAGGTAAATTTAGGTCAAGGTAGACATGGGCTTGACAAAGCGCTTTGGACCAAAATGTGAAAGTTGGGCCACTCGAGGGGTAATTTTTCCAACTCAAGCCCAAATTTAATTTTATCAGCTATGATTTTGACTAGGAAGGTCAAATAGATACTAGACCCACGTTATATTCACTTAAGACTAGCCAAATTAACCAAACAATTGGCACTGATTCCTCAATCTCGCATCTCTGTTTCTCTTCTGCCGATTAAACCTCACTCAGCCGCCTCTTACTCAACCACGATACCCCACGCCTTGAGGTTGGAGGCGTTGGCTTATCCTAATCTCACCTTTAAAACCTTAGGGTTCAATATCGGATCCCTGTCATCCAAACCACCCTCTAAACCCATCAAGAACTTTAAGGGAGAACATGATGAAAAAGAGTTTTTGAGCAATCTTGTTGATTCACCTGGGCACGTTGACTTTTTTACTGAGATCACTGTGGTATTATGTATCACAAACGGTGTTTTAGTTAGTGTTGATTGCGGTAAAGATGTTGGTACCCTAGAAAAAGCTATCAGCTGCCAAAACTTTGGAGAAATAATTCATCTTTTCCTAATTGTTAACAAAAGGGACAAGTATTTCTCTGAACATCAGGTGAAAGAAGAAGAATTATACCAAACATTTCAAAGGATTACTGAAGATTCTAATGGCACCTGGTCCAAACATCAGGACCCCCTCCTGGGTGATATCATGGTTCCCCAAGAAAAAGGTAATGTTGCTTTATCTACTGGGCTTCACGGTTGGGTTTTGACTCTAACCGATTTTGCGAAAACCTACAACTCTAAATTTGGTATATACAAATCAAAGAAGAACATTCGTCAGGATTATCAACGGGGGTCTATATTGACCAAACTTGGTGATGATTTGAAGTCTGACGAGAAAACCTTGTATGCGAGAGGTGTTGCTAGAACTGTCATTTGGTGGGGGAAGAAACAAGAAATAGTTGAGATGCAATTATCTTCTACAACAGACAAAAGAAAGCCCTTATAATTCATGGGCTGAGGGTTGATGAGTATTCATCAACTGAAGGAGCACCAGTTGACCCCTCAGTTAGAAATTTAGATGCTCTTGATCTTGCGGAGGATTTGAACAACATTGAGAAGGGCATGCAGGAAGCATACACAGAGCTGGTGGAGAACCACGATATGTCAAAGAGACACTACCAAGATGATGTTGAACAATACATGTGGAATTCTCAAGTAGGTGGTTCCTACACGAATACCCATGGCATGGATGAAACCCGTGGAAGAAGAAAAACACAAAAAGCACCCTCTTCCTAAAGGGATACCAACTTGAGTATCTGGAGAAGCACAGTTTTGAGGAATTAATCAAGAAGCGATCTGATTTCATGAGTTATACAATATTCATATGGGTTGAGAAGATGATCAAGGAAGAGATCTCTAGCAAGGAGGATAAGATGGTTCATTATTTCCTACATGTTGTCTCTCTATTGTTCTCTTCATTTGAACTTGATACGAAGTCTGTTGTTGATATTAGAACCAGGGTGTTAGAGGAAAAGATTGTAGCAACGCAAGCTTGTGGGTTGTTTGTTCTGATTACAAAGAGTATTTATGTCCTACATTTGGAAGAGTCTCGTGGATATTTGATATGGTCTACTGGTTATTTCCATGAAGATACATTAAGGGTTGCTGATACGGCTGTTAAGATGAGCGTGTGGGCTGCAAAGCAAAGAGATGTGTGGGTTAATGAACATGGCGGTACAAAGAACATGATGAAAAGAACCGAAGATGGGTTAAAGCTGAAAGAGACGGATGATGAACAGCAGCAACAGGAGAAGTTTGAGGGATTTGTTGTCTCTTTTCTCGGGTTGCTTTGGGTTTACCTCTCCTATTTGCCTCTACACGTGATCGAGATGACAAGAGTGACTCATTCTTTTCTTCACCTTGAGGACAAGGTGAAAGTTTGGGCCGCCGGTATTGTTAAGCCCAACTAATCCTAAAGTGCTTTTAATTGATTTGCTTTATTAGAGTTTTTGTCATCTTTTTGGCTTTAGGGGTAGTATGGTCTTTTTAGGAGTTATGGTTGTTATTGGTTGCTTTGTTTGTGGGAGCACTGACCTTGTCCTAGGTATGTTTTTGGGACCACTCCCCTGAGTCTTGTTTTCTATATATTTGCTTCTTGAGGTTTTTGTTTAGCAGCTAAGAATTGATTTGTAAAGAACTTTGTTCTTCTTTTGGAGAGTCCATTTCTATCGAAGGAATGGGAATTCTATCCTAATTTTCTGGTATTATTGAGTGTTTTGTTGCTTTGAATCTGTTAGAATGCCTGGGGTATATGATAGATTCAATAAGGATCTATCAAATGGTATCAGAGCAGTCGGTACTGGAGAAGGAACGAAAACCAGAAACAGAGTTGGCAAGGTGATGGGAGAAATCCTTCAAGGTCAAGCTGAGATTCTTTAGATGATGAACCAGCTCTTGGAGAAAGTTGAACTTGCCACTAGAAGTAGAAAAGATGAAGCTGGAATATCAGAAGAAGAAGAAGAAGAGACTAGATACTCGTCAATGGAGATGCATCATCAGAACAAGATAAAGAGATATGAAGAGAGAGAGAGAGAGGATGAGATAGCTAAATGGAGAGAGTATTACTGCTCAGAGGAAGGAATGGAGGCTGAGAAGGCTAAGTGGAGTAAGATTTATTACTCTACTTTGAAAGAGAAAGAGAAAGTAGTCCATGAAGAGGAAGAAGAAGTATCTTGGGAAGTTGCTGAGTCAGAATCGGAATCCAAGGAGGGAGCCTTCCATGGAAACAACTACACACAGTCACAACCATCACCGCCACTATTGTGTGACGATGAAGATGAAGTATCATCGGAATTTTCTGAGTTGGAATCGGAATCCGGGCCAACACTACAGCTTCCACCACCTTCACTGCCGTTGTCTCCACAATCTTCTAGGTATGAGAACAGAAAAGAAGGAGCGATGATGATCCTAGGAGGAGACGTAATCAGAACTTCCATTGTTGAAGTGCAGGAAGGAATAGCCAAGTCTGATATTGAAGAACTATCATCGGAACTTTTTTAGTGGGAATGGGAATCAGAATCAACACTGCAGCTCCCACCCCCAATGTTGCCGCCGACACAACCAACACCGCCGACAAATCCACCTCCATTAGCACCACCGTCTCCCCCACAACCACCTTCCCCTCCGCCTCTAGAGTTCAAGCTGAGTAAAGAGGGTGTAGTTCTCGAAATTGGAGGCTCAAATCGGTTTGTTAGAAAACATGAGATGCCTTTGATCAATGGCCACAGACCACCATTGCAGCCGCCTTCTTGCCCCCCACTACCACCATCGTTGTATTCACCGCTATTGTTGCCGCCACCAGCGTCACCACCACCATTACCGAGATTTGAGGAAAAGAACGAAGGAACGTATTCAGAGTACCAACAAAGTCTCGAGATGGTAACGGCTCCGTTAAATGAAGTGACGGAAAAGGTAAATTTAGGTCAAGGTAGACATGGGCTTGACAAAGCGCTTTGGACCAAAATGTGAAAGTTGGGCCACTCGAGGGGTAATTTTTCCAACTCAAGCCCAAATTTAATTTTATCAGCTATGATTTTGACTAGGAAGGTCAAATAGATACTAGACCCACGTTATATTCACTTAAGACTAGCCAAATTAACCAAACAATTGGCACTGATTCCTCAATCTCGCATCTCTGTTTCTCTTCTGCCGATTAAACCTCACTCAGCCGCCTCTTACTCAACCACGATACCCCACGCCTTGAGGTTGGAGGCGTTGGCTTATCCTAATCTCACCTTTAAAACCTTAGGGTTCAATATCGGATCCCTGTCATCCAAACCACCCTCTAAACCCATCAAGAACTTTAAGGGAGAACATGATGAAAAAGAGTTTTTGAGCAATCTTGTTGATTCACCTGGGCACGTTGACTTTTTTACTGAGATCACTGTGGTATTATGTATCACAAACGGTGTTTTAGTTAGTGTTGATTGCGGTAAAGATGTTGGTACCCTAGAAAAAGCTATCAGCTGCCAAAACTTTGGAGAAATAATTCATCTTTTCCTAATTGTTAACAAAAGGGACAAGTATTTCTCTGAACATCAGGTGAAAGAAGAAGAATTATACCAAACATTTCAAAGGATTACTGAAGATTCTAATGGCACCTGGTCCAAACATCAGGACCCCCTCCTGGGTGATATCATGGTTCCCCAAGAAAAAGGTAATGTTGCTTTATCTACTGGGCTTCACGGTTGGGTTTTGACTCTAACCGATTTTGCGAAAACCTACAACTCTAAATTTGGTATATACAAATCAAAGAAGAACATTCGTCAGGATTATCAACGGGGGTCTATATTGACCAAACTTGGTGATGATTTGAAGTCTGACGAGAAAACCTTGTATGCGAGAGGTGTTGCTAGAACTGTCATTTGGTGGGGGAAGAAACAAGAAATAGTTGAGATGCAATTATCTTCTACAATAGACAAAAGAAAGCCCTTATAATTCATGGGCTGAGGGTTGATGAGTATTCATCAACTGAAGGAGCACCAGTTGACCCCTCAGTTAGAAATTTAGATGCTCTTGATCTTGCGGAGGATTTGAACAACATTGAGAAGGGCATGCAGGAAGCATACACAGAGCTGGTGGAGAACCACGATATGTCAAAGAGACACTACCAAGATGATGTTGAACAATACATGTGGAATTCTCAAGTAGGTGGTTCCTACACGAATACCCATGGCATGGATGAAACCCGTGGAAGAAACACAAAAAGCACCCTCTTCCTAAAGGGATACCAACTTGAGTATCTGGAGAAGCACAGTTTTGAGGAATTAATCAAGAAGCGATCTGATTTCATGAGTTATACAATATTCATATGGGTTGAGAAGATGATCAAGGAAGAGATCTCTAGCAAGGAGGATAAGATGGTTCATTATTTCCTACATGTTGTCTCTCTATTGTTCTCTTCATTTGAACTTGATACGAAGTCTGTTGTTGATATTAGAACCAGGGTGTTAGAGGAAAAGATTGTAGCAACGCAAGCTTGTGGGTTGTTTGTTCTGATTACAAAGAGTATTTATGTCCTACATTTGGAAGAGTCTCGTGGATATTTGATATGGTCTACTGGTTATTTCCATGAAGATACATTAAGGGTTGCTGATACGGCTGTTAAGATGAGCGTGTGGGCTGCAAAGCAAAGAGATGTGTGGGTTAATGAACATGGCGGTACAAAGAACATGATGAAAAGAACCGAAGATGGGTTAAAGCTGAAAGAGACGGATGATGAACAGCAGCAACAGGAGAAGTTTGAGGGATTTGTTGTCTCTTTTCTCGGGTTGCTTTGGGTTTACCTCTCCTATTTGCCTCTACACGTGATCGAGATGACAAGAGTGACTCATTCTTTTCTTCACCTTGAGGACAAGGTGAAAGTTTGGGCCGCCGGTATTGTTAAGCCCAACTAATCCTAAAGTGCTTTTAATTGATTTGCTTTATTAGAGTTTTTGTCATCTTTTTGGCTTTAGGGGTAGTATGGTCTTTTTAGGAGTTATGGTTGTTATTGGTTGCTTTGTTTGTGGGAGCACTGACCTTGTCCTAGGTATGTTTTTGGGACCACTCCCCTGAGTCTTGTTTTCTATATATTTGCTTCTTGAGGTTTTTGTTTAGCAGCTAAGAATTGATTTGTAAAGAACTTTGTTCTTCTTTTGGAGAGTCCATTTCTATCGAAGGAATGGGAATTCTATCCTAATTTTCTGGTATTATTGAGTGTTTTGTTGCTTTGAATCTGTTAGAATGCCTGGGGTATATGATAGATTCAATAAGGATCTATCAAATGGTATCAGAGCAGTCGGTACTGGAGAAGGAACGAAAACCAGAAACAGAGTTGGCAAGGTGATGGGAGAAATCCTTCAAGGTCAAGCTGAGATTCTTTAGATGATGAACCAGCTCTTGGAGAAAGTTGAACTTGCCACTAGAAGTAGAAAAGATGAAGCTGGAATATCAGAAGAAGAAGAAGAAGAGACTAGATACTCGTCAATGGAGATGCATCATCAGAACAAGATAAAGAGATATGAAGAGAGAGAGAGAGAGAGATGAGATAGCTAAATGGAGAGAGTATTACTGCTCAGAGGAAGGAATGGAGGCTGAGAAGGCTAAGTGGAGTAAGATTTATTACTCTACTTTGAAAGAGAAAGAGAAAGTAGTCCATGAAGAGGAAGAAGAAGTATCTTGGGAAGTTGCTGAGTCAGAATCGGAATCCAAGGAGGGAGCCTTCCATGGAAACAACTACACACAGTCACAACCATCACCGCCACTATTGTGTGACGATGAAGATGAAGTATCATCGGAATTTTCTGAGTTGGAATCGGAATCCGGGCCAACACTACAGCTTCCACCACCTTCACTGCCGCTGTCTCCACAATCTTCTAGGTATGAGAACAGAAAAGAAGGAGCGATGATGATCCTAGGAGGAGACGTAATCAGAACTTCCATTGTTGAAGTGCAGGAAGGAATAGCCAAGTCTGATGTTGAAGAACTATCATCGGAACTTTTTTAGTGGGAATGGGAATCAGAATCAACACTGCAGCTCCCACCCCCAATGTTGCCGCCGACACAACCAACACCGCCGACAAATCCACCTCCATTAGCACCACCGTCTCCCCCACAACCACCTTCCCCTCCGCCTCTAGAGTTCAAGCTGAGTAAAGAGGGTGTAGTTCTCGAAATTGGAGGCTCAAATCGGTTTGTTAGAAAACATGAGATGCCTTTGATCAATGGCCACAGACCACCATTGCAGCCGCCTTCTTGCCCCCCACTACCACCATCGTTGTATTCACCGCTATTGTTGCCGCCACCAGCGTCACCACCACCATTACCGAGATTTGAGGAAAAGAACGAAGGAACGTATTCAGAGTACCAACAAAGTCTTGAGATGGTAACGGCTCCGTTAAATGAAGTGACGGAAAAGGTAAATTTAGGTCAAGGTAGACATGGGCTTGACAAAGCGCTTTGGACCAAAATGTGAAAGTTGGGCCACTCGATGGGTAATTTTTCCAACTCAAGCCCAAATTTAATTTTATCAGCTATGATTTTGACTAGGAAGGTCAAATAGATACTAGACCCACGTTATATTCACTTAAGACTAGCCAAATTAACCAAACAATTGGCACCGATTCCTCAATCTCGCATCTCTGTTTCTCTTCTGCCGATTAAACCTCACTCAGCCGCCTCTTACTCAACCACGATACCCCACGCCTTGAGGTTGGAGGCGTTGGCTTATCCTAATTAAAACCTTAGGGTTCAATATCGGATCCCTGTCATCCAAACCACCCTCTAAACCCATCAAGAACTTTAAGGGAGAACATGATGAAAAAGAGTTTTTGAGCAATCTTGTTGATTCACCTGGGCACGTTGACTTTTTTACTGAGATCACTGTGGTATTATGTATCACAAACGGTGTTTTAGTTAGTGTTGATTGCGGTAAAGATGTTGGTACCCTAGAAAAAGCTATCAGCTGCCAAAACTTTGGAGAAATAATTCATCTTTTCCTAATTGTTAACAAAAGGGACAAGTATTTCTCTGAACATCAGGTGAAAGAAGAAGAATTATACCAAACATTTCAAAGGATTACTGAAGATTCTAATGGCACCTGGTCCAAACATCAGGACCCCCTCCTGGGTGATATCATGGTTCCCCAAGAAAAAGGTAATGTTGCTTTATCTACTGGGCTTCACGGTTGGGTTTTGACTCTAACCGATTTTGCGAAAACCTACAACTCTAAATTTGGTATATACAAATCAAAGAAGAACATTCGTCAGGATTATCAACGGGGGTCTATATTGACCAAACTTGGTGATGATTTGAAGTCTGACGAGAAAACCTTGTATGCGAGAGGTGTTGCTAGAACTGTCATTTGGTGGGGGAAGAAAAACAAGAAATAGTTGAGATGCAATTATCTTCTACAACAGACAAAAGAAAGCCCTTATAATTCATGGGCTGAGGGTTGATGAGTATTCATCAACTGAAGGAGCACCAGTTGACCCCTCAGTTAGAAATTTAGATGCTCTTGATCTTGCGGAGGATTTGAACAACATTGAGAAGGGCATGCAGGAAGCATACACAGAGCTGGTGGAGAACCACGATATGTCAAAGAGACACTACCAAGATGATGTTGAACAATACATGTGGAATTCTCAAGTAGGTGGTTCCTACACGAATACCCATGGCATGGATGAAACCCGTGGAAGAAACACAAAAAGCACCCTCTTCCTAAAGGGATACCAACTTGAGTATCTGGAGAAGCACAGTTTTGAGGAATTAATCAAGAAGCGATCTGATTTCATGAGTTATACAATATTCATATGGGTTGAGAAGATGATCAAGGGAGAGATCTCTAACAAGGAGGATAAGATGGTTCATTATTTCCTACATGTTGTCTCTCTATTGTTCTCTTCATTTGAACTTGATACGAAGTCTGTTGTTGATATTAGAACCAGGGTGTTAGAGGAAAAGATTGTAGCAACGCAAGCTTGTGGGTTGTTTGTTCTGATTACAAAGAGTATTTATGTCCTACATTTGGAAGAGTCTCGTGGATATTTGATATGGTCTACTGGTTATTTCCATGAAGATACATTAAGGGTTGCTGATACGGCTGTTAAGATGAGCGTGTGGGCTGCAAAGCAAAGAGATGTGTGGGTTAATGAACATGGCGGTACAAAGAACATGATGAAAAGAACCGAAGATGGGTTAAAGCTGAAAGAGACGGATGATGAACAGCAGCAACAGGAGAAGTTTGAGGGATTTGTTGTCTCTTTTCTCGGGTTGCTTTGGGTTTACCTCTCCTATTTGCCTCTACACGTGATCGAGATGCCAAGAGTGACTCATTCTTTTCTTCACCTTGAGGACAAGGTGAAAGTTTGGGCCGCCGGTATTGTTAAGCCCAACTAATCCTAAAGTGCTTTTAATTGATTTGCTTTATTAGAGTTTTTGTCATCTTTTTGGCTTTAGGGGTAGTATGGTCTTTTTAGGAGTTATGGTTGTTATTGGTTGCTTTGTTTGTGGGAGCACTGACCTTGTCCCAAGTCTGTTTTTGGGACCACTCCCCTGAGTCTTGTTTTCTATATATTTGCTTCTTGAGGTTTTTGTTTAGCAGCTAAGAATTGATTTTTAAAGAACTTTGTTCTTCTTTTGGAGAGTCCATTCCTATCGAAGGAATGGGAATTCTATCCTAATTTTCTGGTATTATTGAGTGTTTTGTTGCTTTGAATCTGTTAGAATGTCTGGGGTATATGATAGATTCAACAAGGATCTATCATGTTGTTCCCAAACATTGCATGAACTAAATCAGAGGTTGTCAAATAAGTAAAAAAAATAGAGGCTGAAACAGAAACCCTTGTCTATGGAAGCCTTGATTGAACTAAAACCCATGGGAGAAATTTCCAATGATTGTTTAAGAATGATTATATATGATTAAAAAATTCACAACAATAAATCACGAACAACTAAATTTAGTTTAGAGATCAAGTATTGGAATCATAAACATGAAAAACTATTGTTTATTATGAGGGTTTTGATGGGTTTTTAATGTGGGAATCATCAAACAGGGAACACCTATTTGAATGGATTTTATATGGGGTCTACAATGGATAGTTAATGGAATTATGGGTGTAGCGCATGGGTCAGTTCAAGAATTGGTGTGTGTGGGAATGATTAAGGGTATAGTGGGTCGGTATTTATAGCAATAAATAAGAAAAATCAGAGATGAATGTGATTGTTTGAGTAGGTATAGCTAGGGGGTTGTTATTTATTCTCATGTTTTGATTTGATATCATGTTAGGACTCATGGAGGACCTATGTGTGGATCATAATTGATCAAAAAGGAAGATTGAAAAATCGATTGATCAAGGCTTAAAGTCGTCAATTTGTAACTGATTTTAAGAAAACTGTATATTACAAAAGAACTAAATACAATGTTAAACAACTAGCTAAAACATATTTACTACATAAATAAACCCCAATTATAAAAAAATATGAAAGTAACCCCATGAAATCCAGAATCACCGAAATCTACTCTAACAAATATGATTGGCTTACATGTATAGAGGAACTAGAGAGATTTTTAAAAGATTATGGGATGATGATGACAAATACAAGACTATGTTAAGTAGAAACTATAACTCCATAAGTAGTAAAGAATCAATGTGGTGTATTTCTTATTTGGACGATGTATTGGATCATGTAAAATGTTGTATATTTTCTATTTGAATGTGCATGTATTTAGCAAAACACTCATTTTGTTTTTTTTAGGTTATTTTTTATCGAAAAAAAATCGAATATACCAAAATTCACGATTTTTTGTCATCTTTTCATTAGAGATCGATATTTATATATAAAAAATGAATTTTTTGCAAAAAAAATATATATATATATATAATTTTTTCTGTTTTTTTTTATTAATTAGGGTTTATTTTTATCAAAACAAACAATAAAGATATCAAAAATTCATAGTTTTTGGTACTTCCAAATAGATATTTATATCGATATGTAAAAATGATTTAAAAAAAAATCAGTTCAAGTTTACCATGTGAATCTTAATTGCATCGAAATTTTTATATAAAAAATCACATTTAAATGCTTATTGTACCTATTTTTCAACCAAATCTTGATCATTTACATTTGAATTTGAGTAAATTCACCCTATGATTAGTAGTAAATTTATTTGTGTATGATCATCAAGTTGAAATCGTAAAAAATCAAATGAATTTACGTAGATTCACATATGAATGTGATTTTTTGTTCAAATTCACGTGTAATTTGATATATATCATGATTAATGACCAATCATATATATATATATATATATATATATATATATATATATATATATATATATATATATACTAAAGTTCTAATATTTTTCATCGATTTGACAAAAAAATCATAAACTTTATTTTTTTGACAGTAAAGTCCTAACTACCTACAGTTTTTGACACTTTTACCATTTTTTCCGGTTAGCCGGTAATTAGGATTTTTTTTGTCAAAATAATAAAGTTTAGGACTTTCTTGTCAAATTGTGAATTATGACTTTATTGTAAAAAAAATAAAGTTTAGGACTTTTTTTCAAATCGTTGAAAATTTTGGGACTTTAGTGTATTTTCATAGCCCAAGAAATTTTAATTGTGATCTTTGTCACAGCACAACTGTTTTTCTTACCATCATCATCTTTACTCTGATATAATCACGATCAGGGGAAACAAATGCACAAGAGAGAGCAAGAAATGGTGAAAAGACTTGTAAAACTTTCTTTTTGTTTCGTCTCCAAATCTTGAACTAAAAAGTGGGGACAAGTTATACAAACACAAACAAACACATTCCTAGTCAAAAGGGTGTGAATGTGGAGAATGGCTAAGAAGGGCAATTTCGTTTTTTTCGGTTTCTTAGTTCTCCATTTTTAAGACTGCAAAAAGCCAACACAACTCTGGTTTTTTCTTTCTTTCTTGATTATCTTCATTTTTTTCAATATCGGTTTGTTGATATTAAAAAAACTATTTAACAAGAAGCAAACGTTAAGGATTTTAATAGAATCTAGCTGACTAGAACAGATTTCAATAGCTCTTATGCTTAAAGACTATCATACCATTAAATTTCTAACAAAAAAAAATGGATATATACACTAAAGTCTCAATATTTTCAACGATTTAACAAGAAAGTCCTAAACTTTATTTTTTTAAAATAAAGTCCTAATTCACGATTTGACAAAAAAGTCTTAAACTTTATTATTTTGACAAAAAAAAAAGTCATAATTACCGGCTAACCGGAAAAAAGGGTAAAAGTGTCAAAAATTGCCGATAGTTCGGACTTTACAGTCAAAAAAATAAATTTTAAGACTTTCTTGTTAAATCGATAAAAATATTGGGACTTTAGTGTGTGGGTGTGTGTGTGTGTGTGTGTATATATATATATATATATATATATATATATATATATATATATATATATATATATATATATATGTGTGTGTGTGTGTGTGTGTGAGTGGACCAAAAATCAATAGAGTTTAATGATTTTTGTACACGGTGATCAACCGTATAGAATATTAACCATAAAAAAAATTAAATATGACGAGTAATTAATGAATTATCAATAACCGAAAGATGATGAAAAATTATGAATTTTAGTATGTTTGATTTTTTTTTATAAAAAAAGTAAAAATTAAAGTGAGTTTTTTGGTATAATGTCGTTCATTCGCCCAACATACAAATATAGAACTTATCTCTTAGTCGTCGACCGTTTTACGTTCCGACGTCTATGATTGATTTGTTGATTAGTTTTTTTACAACGGAAAATATAATATAATCTTAAACTACTCCTAAATTCACATAAGGAAGGAAGACAACATTTGATATTGTTGGGCTAAAAGCCCTTTGGTTATTTGTTGATTAATTATGGTTGTGTGCAATGTTTTAAAAACCGGTTTGAACCAATCGGTCAAACCGGTTGGACCGGGAACCGGGAGAGGGAGCGGTTCAACTATCACCGATTTTATGTCAAGTTTTGAACCGGATTGAACCGGCCGGTTTTTAGAAAAACCCGGTTGAACCGGTTAAACCAAATAAAAACACATGAAAAAATCATTTATATAATAAACTTTGGATATTTTTTTTTTCAAATCTGTTTAGTTTTCAGTAAATAAAAATATATGATAAATATTATCAAGTTTTTTGATGTGTTTGTTTCGGTATTATATTTTATTTCGGTATTATATTTTATTTTTCTTTTTGACGTATATGGATTTATGTAAAACACTAAAACTTAATGTTATGTGTTATTTTAATGTATTTTGATTCATCTATAACTTATTTTTATACGTATTTTTAATGTTTGAACTTGTAAACATCAAATTCATGATTTATATATGTACGTATGTGTAGGAAAATAAAAAAAAAACATGAAAAATATTAAAACCGGTTGAACCGGGAACCGGTCACCATACCGGTTCAACTAAAAAACCAGTTTTTAAAACATTGGTTGTGTGTTAAACTTTTATCTATGATTAGTTGATTTCGTTGGATATCTATATATATTTAAAGAAAGGCAAATGAAATAATGTCCATCTAATTTGATATTTATATTACTCATGAGATACGTGATATCTTTGGTCGGTGTTATAAGTTTTAAAATATCATTCTTCTATAATTTTAGATAATTTGAGAGCTTGAAATAAATTAATCTTTTGTTAAGTTTTCTTGTTGGACATTGATGATCACAAGGGTAAGAACAAAGACGAACGTAGTTTTCAAAGGTGCTCATTGTAAATCATTCGAATAAAATTATAGTTTCAGTATCTTAACTTTTTGTAAATCATTCAACAACGAACCATAAACAATTAATTTACAATTGAAAACATGGAGGCATAATAATAATAATAATAATAATAATAATAATAATAATAATAACAACAATTATTATATTATATTTATTATAATAATAAGGACGTATAAACCAATGTGTTGCAAATATTAATGTATGGCAGACCCCTTCCGTACTTCAGGGGCATTGTCACATGGATCCTGTCTGCGACTCTTTCGATCTATTCCACGCCCATTTCCTTTCGGCATTTCATCGAACACTTTCCCTGCTTCTTCTTTTTTCTACAAGCTAATAATACCACTTCCCCAAATCCGCCATTCTTCTTCTCATCCTGTCTACATCTTATCTTCTTGCACACCAACAATCAAACTAACAACAAAGACTTTTTGTTTCAGGTAATACTTCATCTCTATTGAATTTGTTTCAGTCTGAAGTAGGTGCAATCACAACTACCATGTTTGACTGAAGTAAACATCTAACGATTGATGAATGATGCCCTCGTATTTTTTTGAATGTTTCCCCTTTTTCTAGCTGTAAAAGAACGTTCTTTTTATTGTGTTTTCGTTTTCTTGATATGATATTCCACACTTGGAAGTATCTGTAGCTTCACGAGCGTTACAGTGGTCCACAAAAATCGGTGACCACAGAGGCAATACAAATATACAATACAATACCTTTCGACTATTGTATCTTTCTTCCTAGTTGCTTACTGTTCTCTGTAAATGCGCGATGTACATCTAAACAATCGAGTACAATCATCTAATCCTAACTCAAGTTCAAAATTCCAGGTTTTTCCGAAGAAATTGAAGAACCCTAGTTCGTAGAAGGTAGAAAGAACCAGAGGATGCAATGCAGGTCTGCTATTCACCACAATTAGGATCTACAACGAAGAATCCATCTTCCTTCCGTCATTCCGGTGCTTACACAAGCCCAGGGACTCCAGATTACGGGGATAACAATGTCGGAAGCTTTCAAAAGGGTTGGTATTCAGAGAGAGTAGCGTTACCAAGTAACAGTAGTCGGAGACATATCAGTGCTGCAGCATTGATGCCATTCAATAGTGGAAGAACACTTCCATCGAAATGGGATGATGCTGAAAGATGGATTACAAGTCCATTATCTGGTTTTGGGGTTTTGTAAGACGACGACGACGACTACTTCTACTACTACAGCTCCACCACCTAGACGACCCAAAGCCAAAAGTGGCCCATTAGGGTTAGGTGGGACAACGACAACATCAACAACACCTGGTGGAGTTCATAATTACTTTTCAAACTATTCACCTGCTTTATTACCCGAAAATGGAAGCTCCAAAAATTTTCTCACAACAGGGGTTTTAGTCCCTGATCATGGATTACCTTTTCATCATGGAGTTGTTCAATCTCCTAACATTCCTGGATGGTCCGAATTGTTAATTGGATCTCCATATCCTGATTCCCAAGGTACAAAAACTACAATTTCGTCAATCTTTTGACTTTTTATCGAGTTATTTGATGTTTTTAATTGATTTCTTCAAACACATAGATGAAAATGGTGTTTCGCGTGTTGTTTCACGGAGAGATATGGCGACACAAATGAGCCCTGTGAGCAGCCCGGAAACCTATACACCGCCGCCTGTGGAGGGCGGCAGCCACCATTCTTCAAGATCGGAAGTTAGGGATGTTCAGGTGGATAAAGGCGTCACTATGACAAAAAGAT